CTGTGAGGCGTCCAGCAGACTCACGAGGTGCAGAAAACCAAACCAGCTGGAGATGTTTGACCCAAGACGTAGAGGGAACAGAAAGGACAGGAACTTTAACCTTTCAGGTCACCTGATCTTAGCTTTTACAGCCTCTGTCATCCAGGAAGAACAGCTCCTTTCTTTCTTTGAGTCTACAGCAGCAGAAACAAAGACGCTCTGTGATCAGCTGACCCACCGATAAGTCTCCTCCTGTCCAAACTTCAGCCCGCGAGCCTTGACTTTCAGATGACTTCTAACAGACAGCGTGAGATCTCTGAGGACGGGAAAAATGTCCCTGCAGAGCAGACGAGGGACGATAATGAGCACGCATGAAGCTGCGAAGCATTAATTCCACGCAGAGCGATCCGAGCACGACTGTAATTACAGCGAGACTAAAAACACTGATTGTGTTTCATTATTAAGCCGCTGTACGCCCGCACTGATCCGCTCATTCATATCGTCCTGCACTTAGAGGAGGCTAACCTTCATTCATGCGCTCCATCATCGCTGCTGTCATTTCAGACCACGTGTGCTGAAAACTCTGCACACGTGCTTTAGGGGCACCTTCATGTCAGCTATATATATTTATATCTGTATTATACTGGAGTCTCTACAATTAGATCTACATCTACAAATATGATCTAAATATGACTTATATTTGGTAATGTTTTGTTTCCTAATGTAGTGATTATCGTATCATTTATTTGACTTTAGTGTTTCCTGTGGGAATAATAACAAAAGTTTTTATTACAAATGCTTATTACTGAAATACTGCTTCACGTGTCATGATCGTTTTTTATATTCAGGAGTTTATTCCAGCACAGCATGTGATTCATTATTACTGAAACAATCAGACTGAATATTTTGGTGATATTTATGATTTCTCTGTAATTCAAATTTAAGTGTATTTTACTTAAATAATTGACTTTAGCTGCAAATACAGTGGAATGAGGAGGTAACAGGAAATAAACATTTGTAAATATAAGTGTTATTGAAAAATGACCCAAACATGAAGATGCTAGCATGTTTGCTCTCAGCAGTGATCAGTAGTACTAATGAAAACCACGCTGAGCTGCTGAATTTAGACGTGATTACAGGTGAAGCAGCATCTTCAATGATGATCACTGATAACAGATTTCTGTGACTGCACATGTGGGCAGATGAGCAGTAGATGCACGCATCAGCGTCTCAGTGAGTGCAGGGGAGGATTTCTGCTGTTGCAGCGATCCTCGCTCGGGTGTCGTGGTGAAACTCTGAATCCTCTGTGACGGGCGCGCTCCGCTCCACGGAGTTCATCAGCAGGGAGGATCTGTGGCCTCGCGGCGAAACGGAAACGGCCGACGAGACGGAAAACATTTTCATAATAACGACTCTGAGACTGCAGCAGCATGTAAATTCAAACGTCCCCGCGTGACTTTGCATTTTAACCTTATCTCTCATTTCAGTAATCCTCCACAGTTTACTGCACTACTTTTGTCTCTGCGGGAACGGATTCAGCTTCGGATTTGTTGATCGGTAAAGACGACGATGTCACGTCCCAGTGGAAGTCGCCGGAGGAGGAGCTTCCACACGAGCGCCGAAGGAGTCGCAGCGCTCCGGGTGTTCAGACCGCCCAGAAGGAGACTCAAAGCACCGAAACAACAGAGTCTCTAGAGAACATACAACGGTTGATTTTACACCATGTCCCAGCACTAGTTTAACTAGTACTGATGGTGAAAACCAGCCGGGACACAAACTTTAATGTTAGTCCCTCACGTCCATGTGCTCGGAACTGTCCGGGATCATCAGTATGTACAATGACAATAAAGGGTCATTCTATTCTATTCTATTCTATCTCTGAAGACGTAAAAATAAATAACAGTCAGGCTGTGACGGTTTCCACGCCTGACCTCGTCAGTCTTCTTCGTTGACCTTTATTCTCCTCGTTGTCGAGGTTTCCTGCTTTTCGTTTGCTCTTGCGTTCCACCTCACCGGTTGATCCTTGCTGCTACACGGTGTGCTTCAGAGCTGCTTTAGCTCCTCATGGATCAGGTTTAACAAGCTGCAGGAAACACCCCTCAGAGGTTTTGAATGATGTTGACATGACATCATCATGACATCATTGGTCAGACCCTCCTGTTCCTCCACATCTCAAAGCTGCTCTGTTAAACTGAGATCTGTGACGGTGGAGCCGTCTGAGTGAACTATGACATCAGAGGACGGTTGAGTGAGGTCAGAAAGAGATGGGCGTGGTCAGCAGCAACACTCAGACAGGCCGTGGCCCTCACCGCAGCAGCAGGCTGAGCACTGATACAGGCAGGATGGAGCCACGCTTTGAACTGACTCACAGACCAGGAAACGTTTCTCCATCTTCTGCTGTCCAGGTTGCTGTTCCTGCTACAGGACTGTGCTCTTCTGTCCATCTGCGTCAAGGTTCACAGACGCTCTTCTGCAGACGCTGGTTTTAATGAGTGCTTATTTGAGTTCCCGTTGCCTCACCATCAGCTTGAAGCAGCCTGGCCTTTCTGCTCTGACCAACCGCGGCTCATTTCTCCCTTTATTCACTTTTCTTCATCATCCTGAGGCTCCGTTTGAACTTCAGCAGCTCTTCTTCAATTATGTCCAACGAGCTGCTGGCGTGCTAAGGAGCAGCAGAACAGGTGTACCTAATGAAGTGGCTGGTGAGTGATGGAGGCGTTGCTTTGTGTTATGTTTTGTCATTTTTCCGAGTCTCTGTGTGAGGCAGGCCGTCCGTGCTGAGCTGAACGTTTCCCTTCCTGTCCCAACCTGTCAGACGCCATCATCATCGAAGGCGGGGCTCTGAGAACAGCTGATGGTGGATGCGACTGCATTCATGGGTCACGGAAGGAGACAGGAACCATCGGCGTCACACACGCCGACGCTGACCTGTGTGTGTCCGTGTCCAAACTGCTTCATGGCTGAAAACAAGCCAAGAATCATTTATAGGTTGTTCTGTTCTGCACAATCCATAATCCAAGTTATTCCACTGGATACTCGGGGCCAGAAGTTTGTGGACAGCTCACACCACTGCTGTGTGTGTCCCCCATCCTGTGATTCTGCTAAACACAGGACCTGAATGCATCATGCTGAGTTTACTCTGCAGTGTTTTGTGTGCAGCACACTCAGCATTTATCCCCACAGTGGATGTTTCATCACTGCAGCACGGACTTGTGTCACGTTTCATCCCATTTCTGTGGAGAACGCAGCGATGCCGGCTGTGACGCATCAGCTGCAGTTTACCATGTTGCCGGTTTTTGCCACGTCAGCACGGATCCACCCGTCCTCCAGAATCAGACGCGTGTGGACGCGACCGCTAAACGACTCTTCTTCCACGTTTCTGACAGACGTGTGGCTCGTTTCAGTCGGAGACAGACTCTGTTTGCTGCATCTGTCAATCACGGATGACGGTCTTGTGGTAGCCCCACCCACAGATGCTGATGTCACAGGTTCCACCTTTGTACTCATCGGCATGTTAAATGGCAGTCTGGCGGCAGGAAGTGGTCTCAAACACAGTTTTAATGCTGAGCTTTTATTTTGGAAACAAACTGTTCTGATAAAGAAACAAACATCCAAAAAACCCGACCTCTCAGGAAACACGATAACAGAGACAGGGAGCCTCACACAGCTCATCTGCACGTGCACGCATATTACATCACGACATCTTCAGTGTTTCTATTCGTTACAGGACACGCTCACATCTGACGTTTGGGTTGTTCTTCACCACGTGCTCGTAAAGGTCCTGAAACAGCCTGAAGATAACTCAGAGTCCAAACACAAAACTCAACATCTGCAGCCCTCCCCACACTGTCCTCATCTGTTAACGCCTCTGTGAGGGTTTCTGATTCGCTGCCATCCACAAACACAAACTGAGGCTGTGACACACAAAGATCATCGATTCAGGATCTCGTGAGTCTCTGGGCGGTGTTTCATTCAATTGATTAGGTTTGATTCGTTTCATTAGACTGTCCCTCCGCGGAAAAGGCTCAGTTTGTACACCGAGATGATTTCAGTTCATTCTCGGCTCTGCTTTAAGTTTTCTCCTGCAGAAATGATCGAGGAGCGTCCGTCTCCCTGCCAGAGTCCATCAGGGTTTTAAACCGCTTCATTAAAAGTCCAATAATTCGAGTCGCTCCTCGGGCCAACCTCCAACTCTGATTAGCTGTTCCTGATGTTTCTGCTGGCACTGATCTGAGGCCTGACAGGGAGGAGGCTCAGAGGAGGTTCATTAGAAACAGCGATGGACAGACCTGTGAAGACGCCGCCTGTCAGGAAGGATTTAGGTCGCCGGTTAGTGATTAGTGAAGTCTGTGAGCGTGAAGGCTTTCCTCCAGAAACGATCAGTCCTCCAGCTGCAGGTTTAAATCTGTATTTGTGTTTTAAGATCAATCTGAAGAGGACTTTTAGTTGAACAGGAAACAGGAAATGCTTCGTCGTTTTCGGGGTGTGTTTGTGAGGCTCTTTTGTTTCACACAGGTGCTTTAGACCTCCCAACAAGAAAAACCGGGACATTAAACAACGACGGCCTGTCTCTAAATACGACCATCATATCTCAGCCCTGCATCTCTGTGTCATGGTTCTGTCGTATGTACTTTTTACTGCATTTTCATTTCATTAAACAAAGCTCTTACACTAACTGACATGCAGGGAAGCATTCCACCTTAAAAGCTTCCAGAAGCTGCTGTTCACACGTTAACAACGCGTCACAGTCTTCCTCCCCTCAATCCCAGCTGCTCCAGCAGACCCCGAGCCTGGTTCTGCCGGAGGTTTCTTCCTGTTAAAATGGAGTTTTTCCTTCCTACTGTCGCCAAAGTGCTTGCTCATAGGGGGGGTGGTCTAGTTGTTGAGGTTTTCTCTGTATTCTTGTAGGGTCTTTTTCTTTCTTTTCAGATAATAACTCCCTGAAGGGAGCAGCTGAAAGTTTCACAATTGCTTTTGCAGAGGTGTCACGTTCTCTTGTCATTCTGCGTTCGGTCCTGCAGGTGGCGATGGTGCCCGAGGCGCCACGCCCATTCCCCACCGTGGATGTGCCCGACCACGCCCACTACACCATTGGCTCCGTGATTCTCACCATCGGCATTACGGGCATGATTGGGAACTTCCTGGTCATCTACGCCTTCAGCAGGTACGCTCATCACCGTGCTGCTTTCAGGTGAAAATGCAGCCTTAGGCCCCAAAAACAGTTACTGTTCATTTTATTTTAATCTGAGCTTGACTAAAACTCTCACTCATGTATTTATTTGTAACCGCGGTGCTGCACAGTGTGAAGTCTTATTGCTTTGTGATAACTGTAGTAACTTCATGTGTGCATTGTAATATATATATAAGAAGCTTCTACACTGATCAAATGATAACACAGGGTGTCACGTGTTAAATCTCAGGTAATCTTCAGATTTGGGTTAATTAGCCGTAGAATAATAGTTGCAAACACAGCATGAAAGCTGAAACAGTTTTTATATGTTTCACAGTCTGAAATTTCTCATCTCTGCCCTCAAACGTCTCCTGTTCAAATGAAATCATATTAGACACGACCAACACTTCTAAATACTCTCACTTCTACTCTTGGACCTGCCGTCCAGGATCAGATAAAGAAGGATTATTCTGAACTCTGAGTAATGGAAAGCTGCCTCAGGAGAGTCCAGAATAAATATTTGGAACCTGAAACGACTAAACAGATTTAGCTTTACTTGTTAACAGAGGCTCAACTCAAACTCATCTCATCCAGGATTTCTTTATCTGCTCATTGGCTACAGACAGGCTCACAGGCTTCCAGAAGTCGCCCAGTAAGAAGAAAGTAGGCTTAATGGATGGTCTGAGGGAAAGTATAAGATGGATAAGGAGCAGAGAGTCCAAGAGGAAAAGGATGGAGCTGGAAATGAACGGTCTTTAAAAAGAACGCTGGTATAGTGTTTGAGGATGAAGCGCATGAGCAGCTGCAGAAGCACCGGAGAGAAAGGACGGCCCGTAAGGCTTTAATCAGAGGTTCCTCATGCTGGGATAAGTAGGAAATCAGGACCTCTGTCTGGAACGAGCTGCTGCTCATTTATCGAGCAGCTCTTTTCTTCTTCCATGTCTGCAGAGAAACAATGAGCACAATGATTTCAGGAGTTCCTTTAAGAAGCTTTTCCACCTAAGAAAAATTCGATGTGCGCATCGATCTGCCTGTTCCTTGGATGGGCATCGATCCTTCTTCTGCTACAATCAGCTGTGGTTTAAGGCGAATGCGTCATTGATTAAACGTTCATGTTCAAGCTGAAGGAGCCCTGAGTGCTCTCCTTCAGACAGACTCAGTCATTACTGAAAAACATCAAACTGTTCAGATTTGGATCATCTGTTCAAAATTCAGTTTTATTTTCTGTAAAAGACAGAATTTCACTAATGTAACATCACTTAGTTAAAGTTAGCAGTTTGTGGGAGGTTCGAGTATTTTTCAGCAGTTTTTCTGTGATTAACAAATTAATTCTGTTTAAAATGTCTTTGCAGGAGTCGCAGCCTGCGCACGCCGCCCAACATGTTCATCATTAATTTGGCCATCACTGACCTCCTGATGTGCATCACCCAGTCACCCATCTTCTTCACCACCAGCATGCACAAGAGGTGGATCTTTGGAGAGAAAGGTACCAACTGCATGGCTGATATTACAGATGATCTCATTACAAATGCTCCAACAGCACAAACACGGACCAGTTCAGGTGAAGCTAACAGACAGCTGCTACAGCCACCTGTCAGTCAGGCCACGCCCCCTTTTTTCTTTTTTTGTATTTCTTTCTCGGGCAGAATACAAAGTTGATTGTAACTGTTACATTTTTTTGCTTTTAAGAGTGTGATCATGATAAAAGTGTTTGTAATGTTGTGATGTTTTCACTGTAAGGAAAGGGGCTGGTTGACCTTGGATGACCCCTAAAAACCTTTAGCGGCACCAGTGAAAATGTTAGCATCACAAACGTAGCGAAGGTGGGGGGGCCACTTCACTCAGGGTCTGTCTATAAACGCGTACACTGCCTTCTGCTGGATGTAAGTGAAACAACAGAGGCTGGTAACACACACGTTTGTCTTACGGCTTTATTGTTGCGTAGAAACCTCTTGACCAATCTCTGCCTTCCTAAAGATGTTCTTGCCTCTTCACAGGTGTTTTCCTTCACCGTGTCCGACGTGTGACTGAATTTGAGCTTCAGGGCTTAAAATGACTGATTGTTTTATTTTCTATCTGCAGCTTCTTTTCCATTCTTCTCCACCACGATGTGAACCAGTAACTTTCAGCTCAGAGAGAAGAGCGCTGTGTTTGAGTCGCTCAGAGAGACGCTGAGCGAAGGAGGTTTATTTGTCACAGGAAAGAAGAGAAGTTTAAAGCGACTCTAATCCCTCTCTGTTGCCTGCAGGCTGCGAGCTGTATGCTTTCTGTGGCGCTCTGTTTGGGATCTGCTCCATGATCACGATGACGGTGATCGCTATCGACCGTTACTTCGTCATCACGAGGCCTCTCACATCCATTGGAGTGCTGTCTCGGAAGCGGGCCCTCCTCATCCTCGTGGCGGCCTGGGCCTACTCGCTGGGCTGGAGCCTGCCGCCGTTCTTCGGCTGGAGTGAGGACACGCGACACAGCACATTTAGAATACTGTATACGACAGCACGTGACAGTAACAGCGTTTATCAGACTGAATAACACTTTAATGTCAGGTAGACTTCCGACAAAGATCCAGATAAAAACGGCGGTCCAAAGAACAACCTCTCTATGTGTTAACGTTTCAGGCGCCTACGTCCCCGAGGGCCTGATGACCTCCTGTACGTGGGACTACATGACCTTCACGCCGTCTGTGAGAGCCTACACCATGCTGCTCTTCATCTTTGTTTTCTTCCTGCCTCTCTTCATCATCATCTACTGCTACATCTTCATCTTCCGCGCCATCCGCACCACCAACCAGTCAGTTTGAATCTCAGATGTCTTTCGTTCAGCTGTGCCTGACTTCAGTGACTGACTGAAGCTCGTGTGCGTTTCAGGGCAGTGGGGAAGATTAACGGCAGTGTTCACAGTCACGGCAGCACTCGTGATTCCATGAAGAGTTTCCATCGGCTGCAGAACGAGTGGAAGATGGCAAAGATCGCGCTCATCGTCATCCTGCTCTACGTCATCTCCTGGTCGCCGTACTCCACCGTGGCCCTCACCGCCTTCGCCGGGTAAAACACTCAAACCTCCACACCTATGAAAACGTGTGTGCCATCTGAGTCGAACTACAACAAAACTCTGAGCTTTGTGTCGCTGGACTTCCTCTGATGGCCACTAGGTGCCGCTCTCTGTCTCTTAGAGAAATGTGACTCGTTTATTTCAGCTCATTTACATTTTTGTCCACTGCGGCTTTAAAGTTTGAAAGATCTTTGTTAAAAAGTGTTTTCTCATCCAAGCTCATCGCCGAGGCTGGTGAGAAAGAAAGAGTGGCTGACGCTGTAAACGAATTCAGAAAACAAAAAGCTGAAGTCCTAAATGACAAAACATTTTTAAAAAGTAATAATAATATTTAAAAAGCTCCTATTTTGTCAGGTCCTCTTGTTTTGCTTCATATTTTTAAAAATTAGGATACAAAAAGTGACTTTACTGTAACTGAAATGGTAAAAACAATTTGGAGAATGATCTTAAATACCGGGAGCTGGACAATCAAAGTTTAAGAGGCCTCAAAGAGAAAAGGAGCTGAAGCGAGTTTCAGACTGGGGGGTAGGGGGTGGAGCCATTAAGAGATGGCTGAGGTTCAAATTCGACCCGTGAGTCACGCAGAGCTGCTTAGTCCCAGGATACAAACCGAGTGTGAAAGGAGCAGCAGGGCTCGACTGTCTGAACCGATGCTCGTGTAACCCGGCGAGCCCCACATTAACCGGTGTGTTCTGGTTCACAGGTACGCAGACATGTTGACACCCTACATGAACTCTGTCCCCGCCATCATCGCCAAGGCCTCGGCCATCCACAACCCCATCATCTACGCCATCACACACCCAAAGTACAGGTAAACCCCATTTCACAGGTAAAAGACTGACTGCAGCCCCAGTTCTAATAAATGTACAGAGTGTAAGCAACATTTATTCATAATAAAACATAGAAAACATATCAGATGTTTAAACTAAGAAAATGTTCAATTTTCAGAAAAATGTGACCTTCGATTTAGTGACACCTGATAAAACACGTAGCAGCTGATCAGGTTATTTGTCAGCAGGTCCATCACATGATCAGTTTCTAAAACAGGAAGGAGAGAGTTTCTCAGAAGTAAACCTACAAGCTGTGACTCAGTTTCACTGTGAACATCTCATCATCAGCATACTCAGAGAATCAGACGAGGCTGATAACTGTGACCTTCGGGTGCTTTAAAAATCAGTGCACGGGCTGTGAGCAGTTCAAAATAAAACAGGAAGTGAGCTGAAAAGGAGACTAAATATCACAAATGACTGGACACTGCATTAGCTGCATGAGCCACTGAAGTACTGATCGGTATAGACTCCACACTGACCTTTGACCTCTCTTTGCAGGATAGCGTTGGCCAAGTACATCCCATGTCTTGGCGTGCTGCTCTGCGTCCGTCCTCGTGACATCCGCTCGACCAGCAGCAGCTTCGTGTCGACGCGCCGCTCCACTGTGACCAGCCAGACCTCTGACATCAGCAGCCAGTTCAGGCGGCAGAGCACTTTCAAGTCCCGCCTCTCCTCTGCCTCTGACAGCGAATCGGTAAGCTTGAAACGGTTTAATCAGGAAGTTTAAAAAACGGTCAATGTTCAGGAGCGTCCGTTTAACCTCTGCAGGGTCTGACAGACACCGAGGCTGACCTGTCCAGTCTGGGATCCAGACCGGCCAGCCGTCAGGTCTCCTGTGACATCAGCAGAGACACCGCCGAGCTGCCCGACTTCAAACCCTCATCCAGCTTCAAGTCCAAGCTGAAGAGCCACGACTCGGGCATCTTTGAAAAGGTAAACTCAGAGAACGGAAGATGTAAAATAGTGGATAAACTGTGAAAGTGTCACTGAGAGGATCGAACCGCTGACGCCATCAGGACGAAACAAAAAGAAAATCCATTCGTTTATTCAAAACTGAGCGCTGTAAATGCTGCAAACACAAAGAGTCTGAAATCCACAAATAAAACCAGGACAACTCAAGAGCGCCCCCTATGGAACAGGAAGTGAACTCACACAGACAGACAATACAATCCAGCCCGGAGGCCTAATATAATGATGGCGATGTGAGAACGTGTTTCACAATCACAGCTGCGATAACACGACAGAATAAATATCATTACTGAGGACATACCAGTGTTAGTATGATTCATCTGTAAAATATTAACCACATAATACACGTGTTTTACTATCTTTAGCAATCGATTTTTAGTCTTTATTTTAAACTTTATTTTATTTAATTGTTTATTATCTTGTGTTTATTATGTTTTAACTTTTTATTACCATTGTATTTTTTTATTTTTGCTTTTTAGAATAGAATAGAATAGAATAGAATAGAATAGAATAGAACAGAATAGAATAGAACAGAGCTGCTGATACTGGCTGCCAGCTCAGAGCGGCACCGGAAGTTAAATACTTTTTTAAATGTATTGAGCTTTTTTAATCTACAGAGACTACAGACTTTATTTAATTTATGTTTAATGTTTTGGCCTCTGTGTTAATTTGCCAAGACTCAGGATTAATAGATCTTCTCTCATAGTAACAGCTATAATTGTTAAGTGACGGCTGTGTGCAGACAGGAATAGGACCCAAGATGCAGACTCCAGAGACAAACGTAAACTGAAATAGCTTTAATGCTGAACTGAAACATAACATAACTGGAAAAAACCAAAATAAACTCAAACCAGAGGACTGACAGAACACACAGCTAAATAAACGGTAGATCGCAACACAGACACAGAGAAACACAGGGCTTAAATACACAGAGGGAGCAATCAGGGAATGGGTAACGGGAGGGAAACACAGCTGGGACAAATCAGGCCTGATGAGACAAAGGAAGCGTCACCTGAACACACTGAGATAAGACGGAGACCTTCAAAGTAAAACAGGAAACACAAAACACAGACTGAACAAAGACACAGACTCACATGCAGGCACTACAGAGGGAACAGAGACGTGGGACCAGGGCAGACAGACACTGACTGGACACGGGATATAGCCACTAAGGACACACAGAGACGCGAACTAGACAAGGGGATACAGCTGACAGGGGAGACAGAGCAGCTAGAGAAGACAGAGACATAAACCAAAAGACAGAACTCAAACAAAGGAACCAAAGACTAGAAATTATAAATAATAATAATAATAATAATAAACTCAAAAACCCTGGGTCGACGACCCAGACGTCCTAACAATAATAACATATACGTAACAACGGCTGATCTACAATTTTTTAACTTTTCTCAGAGATAGAAAACTTTGCACATATATTTTAAGATTTTAGGGTTAAATAGGTGATTTGTACCATTTTCCTTGTGTCTTCATTGTCGTTCATGGTTCATGATGTTGAACTGTTGGTGTTGAGCAGCATGAGTCACAGTATGAGTCCATGTGTTTCTCTTCTAGACGTCCTGTGACACTAAGCTTCCCACGGCAGGAGCAGGTGAACGCAGCAGCAGTTCAAATGTGAGTTTCACAAACAGCTTTTACAGTCACATCTGTTGGTGGAGGTGCAGTAAATGATGTGAAGGTGAAAGCAGGACCCTTTCATTTAATTTATGCTTTTTTTATTTATGTTGTTTTGTAAGCGATTATCTGTATTTAGATGAAACAATTTTATTCTGATCCAAAGATTTATACAGATCTGAAAATGTGACACCAGTGTTGTAATACAAATATTTTATATGTTATTAAATGATCTGAATATTGATGAATTAATAAACCATCTGTGCAAATCTGTACGAGAGCACCACGCACGTCCTGCACAGGATTGATCGTTTGGTGGTTTCATTTTGTTTCTATGAAACAAAAAATCATCCACAGAGACAAACAGTTTGTGTATCAGGCTGGAAACATGTTTGTTTCTGTTGTAACATGGGAGTCTATGGGGACGGACTCACTGCTGCCTCCACTGGACACTAGAGGAACTGCAGGCTTTGTTTTTAGCACTCCCGCTTTGGCTTCAGTTGTTGGTTCGGAGGATTGACTCTCATGAATCAGGGATCCGGTGACCTCTGGATCCCTGTTAAACAGCTGTTAAATGATTACCTACAAATTTGCTTTGTGCCGACGATGGCGCTAAAAACCCAGCGGTGGTCATTTAGCGCTATCATTGATCCGTGATTGGTTTACGATGGCATGCCTGCCCTCTCAGATTTCAGCATCAGTCACATTTGTTTTAAATAACCGTCTTTGTCTCTTTCACAGAACGGTGATTTTACAGATGGTGCAAGAGGCGCACTCTGTCGAATCCCGAGTATCGTCATCACCTCCGAGTCCAGCCCTTTCCTTTCCACGGGACGAAGTGGTTCCCGCACATCTCGATCGAAGGCGACCAACAGCAGCGGCGGTGGAGGTGCAGGGGCGGGTTCGGCGTAGAGCTCCACCCTCCTCTCCTGTTTAAACACCTGCAGCCATGTGACCACCTAAGGTCCAGGCAGATATTTGGGACTGTGCAGTTCAGAAAAAGCCATCAGAACTCATCAGATTGTGAATCTGCAGGTCGTTTATAGATTTTACCCGATTTGTACCGATATGGATGGAGACAAATTCCAAACCCAACCTGGAGCTGTTTTACCAACGAACAAAACAGTTTACTTAAAGAGCAGCTTACCTGAAACAGGGTGTTTCCTCTCACTCTGTTTGGTTGTTTTGAGTGAAGGGAAAGCAGCTGCTGTGAATTGAAATGTTACAGAATTCATATTTTGCATTGAGTTGCTCTTTAAAGAGCTCCTGAAAGCTGAGAGCAGGTCTGATCTTTGATTACACTGCAGCCACACGGACTCTGAGGGTGGAAATGTTCAGTCAGACTGATGAAAATGCCTCTTTAGCCAAGGTCTCCTGTGACAGGTGAGGGTCCCTTTAGAGGTTTTCTGGTGTCTGAGAGGACTTTGAGCTGAGGGAGGAGATTCTTCATTCTGTGATTCCTCAGTAAACCGTGTGCTTTCCTGCCCTTGGTCTTCTTATGTTTCTGCTTTGCATGTGGATTTCCAGCTCAGACATCAATGTGATGCCACCGGAGCAAATCATAAAGGTTAAATCATGAAGATGGTTATGTGCATCCCATCTAACCAAAACTAACTATAAATTCAAGAAATCACTGACTCAGTGCCAATAAGAACATCTCAGGACATCGATCTTATACCCACAGTGATTACCGATCGCTGTGGATGTGGCTCTGCACCAAGCAGTTTTTCTGCTCATTTCCAACTTTAAAGTATTTTTTAAATCTTTTTTGTCATTATGAACAGTTTAGAAAAACAAAACCTTTGTATCGGCCTTTAAAGCTGCCCCTCTGTTCATCTTCTATCTGAAATGAGCCATTTTAGCTCCTGTCTCTTTAAGAACACCCCCACCCCATAAACCCACTGTTTCCTGATTGGTCAGCTTCCAGAAACCTAATAAGGGGCAGTAAAAAGAACAGCCATCCAACCCTTCTTTAAGAATAAAAAACATAAAGCTGCTTTTCTTGCCCACAACGTTTTTGGCCTGCATAGTTGTGACTTCTTGAACCACAGCAGTAGGAGAGCTGAAACGATGCTCATTTATTTGTTGTGTAACCAACACTGATATGTTCTAAACTGAGGGGTGTAACTACGAAGAAGATTATTGGGTTAGTGAACTGTGTAGAGCTTAAAGTCGTAATTTTCCATGTCACCAATGTGGCTCTTATTTTACAAGCTAAATCACCATGGCAACTGATGCTGAACACATCATCTGGCCAGGAGCAGGTTATGTTTGAATTTTCAGTTTAAAATTGTCTGGAAGCGCCAAGTTGTCAACGATTCTTTTATTTCTGGCATGTTTTCAGTGTGATATAGATTCTATATCTACTTACAAAGAGCGCTGAATGAAGCAAAAAGCAATGTTGCTGTAATGTTGTGCTTAGAAGTAAACAGCAGCATTGAGCGCGCTCAGACACAAAATCTTTCACTGCAATTCAAATCTCTGTGACACAAATCACCAGATTCATCAGTTTCTCCAATAATCTTCAGATTATTTAGCTGTTATATTTTATGTTCTTTGTAAACATTTAATTTCTTTTTAATAACATTTTACTTACTATTTTATCATCCTCACTTTATAACATCTCTAAATGGAGCGGGTGGCGCTCACGGGGATCATTTTGTGAAGAAAAAAAAGAGTCACATGATGCACGAATCGTCTTTCTTCAGTTGATAACCTGTCAGCTGTTATCTGCTATCTCTGGGGCTTTAGGTTTTGCTGATCCAGCTAAGACAAAGAAAGCCTGGATATGTAGCTTTCCTTCGTAGTACACCCTTCAGGGTTAGTTCACGTTCAACAACCATATCTAAACCAGGAATAACAAACCAAAAAGTCAACTGCTGTGTTTTAGCTGTAAGTTCTAGTTTTAGTTAAACTCTTCCTTTAAAAAGCTGAAAATCAGATTTTCCAGGAAGCCCGATGCCCGACTTGGGGAAAACATGCTGGGACGTCCTTTGCAGTCTCTGTGTTGAGCTCATTGTGGCCTGTACATAGAGTTTATTTCTAGTCAGATTCTTTCGGTGTAATCTCCGCGAGTCCTGAGAGGCCTGCAAAAACGCTTCTGTTCTGAAGATATTTTCAGTGTTTTGTGTTTTAAAGTGTTGTTCAGATCATTTCGTTCTGTTTCTGCGGCTTCCTTTCCTTTATTTAACTAAAGGCGTACTTTGCTGAAGCGCAGTGTCGTGGAATGTGACTGTGATATTTTTATAGTGTTTAAAAGAGAAAATCATGTCGATAATAGCGCAGCTCTTGGTCATCTGACATGTCTGTTTGAGCTCCTCAGCTGTTTCCTAAACTTTACCTGAATGTTTCTTTAAAAAGATAAAGCTCATGGTGCTTTTCCTGTTGGGACGGAAGCTTGAAGCAAACCATCAAACTCACTGGTTAAAATGGGTTTAACAAAACAAGATCGGACTGATAAAGCTGAAGCAGTGTGTTTTAGCAAGTATAGCAGTTAAATGCTGCTAACACACGTGAGCTGTTAGCTTGTGCTGTACTACTAATCTTCTGTACATGCTAACTGTTAGCATCTACAGCTTCAGAGGTGACTAAACTCCAACATTAATCTGAATCAGTTTCATAAAAGTTGCAGGTTAAAGCCGTTTGTTACATCAGCAAGTGTGAGCACGTCTATAAAAGCAGACGGTTTGGCAGTTTGCAGATATGGGCTGCAGAGAAACTGCAAAAATTACAAGATACAGGCCTCCATAGCAGGTTAAAGGTTAAAGTTCATGACAGCTCAGTTAGCTACACACTGAACGGGTGCGGCTCGCTTGGAAGGGTTAGAGAGTTCAGAGAGCTGAGCATGAATGAGATGAAGCGACGCTGTAAAGACGAGTGGGACAAAACTGCTCCACAGTGACGTGACAGACGCATGGAGTCACACAGAAACATCACCGCAACTCAGAAGGAGGCGCTACACGCCGCTGAATCAGGGGGCGGAGTTAGACTTTCACACTGCAGTTAGTTTAGTTTATCTTTAATAGATACTAACATGATGTAACGTGCCACATGCTTTTGTTCACCGGAGGCTGAATCTAATTATTTAAGACCTGATCAGGACCAGATGATTTCTCATGTCCTGATATGTGAAAATCCTAAAAAACATTTCTGCATCCAAATGTCACAAAAAAGCCAATAAACTGAAAGAGATGTACAAAAACATGGAGCACGGTTATAACTCTGAATATTGGAAAAAGTAAATACCACCATCATAGTGGACATGATGCAAAAACAGCAGTCACACGGGAAACTGTGGATTCCCTGTGACTGGTTGGAGTCTGGTTGCTGGTTGGTGGAGGTGAAATCAGTCATAAAGACGATGCCACACCAAACACCTCCCGTGATTGCTTTGAACATTAGCAGGTTGCCACTGTCACCTGTAGCTTGTGTGGAGGACGCTGACTTGTCTACAACTACACAAACAGGAAATGAGGAAGTGGTACTCTATCCCGTCTCTAAGTGATGAAGGATGGACCCTGCTTCCAAACTACTCTGTGTTTATTAAGGCTGTTGTATTTTTAACATGTTTTGTATTTTGTTCCATTCAATCTGAACAAAAACAGTCAGTGCTCACTGTCGGCCTCTCTCGGGTTTTATTACCACTCTTCATTTTAAAGCTCTGTTTACGATGTAACTGCAGCCCAGCAGCAGTATATTAATGACTAACCTCGTATTGTGAATAACTTCTAACTCCGTTAAATGTAATAAATCCTGTTTTCATGGATGTTAAACGTCATTGTTACACCTGGTAACAACACTGATCATTTTATAAAAGATGAAAGAATTTCAACAGTTTGTGACTCTCAGCGTTCGTTTGACTTTGACCTGAAGCGGAGTTTGGATCTGGAAACGGCGAATGACGTCAGACTTAAAGACGGGATAGTTTCACTTAGAGAGGCGACTGCTTGAGGACATCGGCATCTGTCAGTGATCAAAGCAGTCGGGGTTTTTCACCAGCTCGTCGGGGTCGCACATTTTTCTGAGCGTCTAGTTTCCAGGGGTCACACACGCCTCTGTAGGCCTGTGACATGACCCCGCAGTGTCAGTGCCCAAAATGGCAGAGGGTCATGTGGTGAGCAGTCACATGACTACAGAACCAGAATAGAAGGCTATTTTCTGTCAAAGTGTGTGGAAGAGCTGTCACTTCTCTAACTGATGCTTCAGCTGGTACAGATTTAGTCAGCAACACTGTTTTCTAGCTGCTGGGGGTCTTTGCTGCCCCCCCCCCACACACACACACACACAGATGTTTGATTTGTTGTGTTAAACTTCCTGTTCTGATGAAGCGATGTTGGAGAGCGGGCAGAGCAGTTACTGTGGATCATTTATTTCAGTGTTGCTTTATTTTTCTAAATAAAATTCTGTCATTCACCGTGATGCTCCGCCTCCTTTGTACCCCCATCACCATAGAGACACGTCACACAGCCAGGCCAGAGCTGTCAGTTTTCATATCAGCCATTTAATTTAATCAGTTTAATTAAACAGTTTTTCTTTAAATTTACAACTTTAATCTAAGAGTAAATGATCGTTGTCACCATCACATGCAGTCCCTTATATTCTCAGGTCCTAAAATACCTTCATACTTTAATACAGCTTTTAAAATTTAACTTAATTTAATTTAAATGAATTTTTCAACTTGTTATTATCGTGTAAAAAAAGTGATTTCTGGTATTTGATAATAAATGTAAGCTATTATAAATGACGTGTTTCCATAATGCCACAAACATATCACTCATGAGCAGAGATGGGCAGTAACGCGTTACACGTTACTGTAATCCGATTACTGTTTTCAAGTAACGAGTAAAGTAAGGGATTACTATTGCAAAAACGGTAATTAGATTACCGTTACTTTCCTCGTAGGAACGCTGCGTTACTGCGTTACTAAAACCGTGATTTTTTTGCGAGATGTCTCACGACAGTGACGTAAGCGAGTGCGCGTTCGTGACAACAGCTGTGTGCAGATCAACAATGGATCACATATCGAGTGCAGAGAGAGTATGAGCGTGCAGCGTTTAAAGCGTGGAAGTACTGACCTTACTTTGAGTTTGATTCCATAAAAAGTGACAAAAACATTAGTGTCCGCTGTGCGTGGGAAGAAAACTTCTTTTTACAGCGAAAAAACCCCTAAACTTCCAACAAGCACCGAGTAGCTAACGTAATGGGAAACTCACAGAGAAACTCGCGGATTCTTCCACTGACCGCGGCACACCTGCACCAGGGTAAACCCTCCGCCTCCCCACTCCTGTGCTTTACAGGTGAAAATAGAGCAACAGGACGCACCACTGGAGAGATAGCGGCCCAGCAGCCTATATTGTGGACCTTTAGTTATGATTTTCCATGCTAGTGTTTTAATTTGAACATCTATAACTTCGAAAGATCTGTGAAAGTTAAACACAAAAAAACTAGTTTAGTATTTCTACTGATAGCATGGAGATGTGACCAGAAAATAAGTTTATAATAGTTAAACTAAGTTTCTTACCAGTCATACGAATGTTGCATATCAATTAAATTTGCTTGATCAGCTTTAGTTAAAAGAATTATAACTATATAATCGTGGCAGCACGGTGGCACGGTGGTTAGCACTGTTGCCGCACAGCAAGAAGGTCCTGAGTTCAATTCCACCATCAGGCCGGGGTCTTTCTGTGTGGAGTTTGCATGTTCTCCCCGTGTTTGCGTGGGTTCTCTCCGGGTACTCCGGCTTCCTCCCACCGTCCAAAGACATGCAGCTTGTGGGGATAGGTTAATTGATTAATCCAAATTGCCACTAGGTGTGAATGTGCGAGTGAATGTGAGTGTGAATGGTTGTCTGTCCCTGTGTGTTGGCCCTGCGACAGACTGGCCACCTGTCCAGGGTGTACCCCGCCTTTCGCCCTATGACAGCTGGGATAGGCTCCAGCGCCCCCCGCGACCCTGAAAAGGATAAGTGAATTGATGGATGAATGGATGGATGGATTATGCAGAAAAAGTAGAATTGGGCTGAAAGATCTATCACTTTATCACCTATTCAGGCTGTTACTTTAAAAAGTAACTAAGTAACTAATTACTTTTGAAAATAAGTAATCAGTAATTAGTTACTGATTGTTTTTTTCAGGTAACGTGACCAACACTGCTCATGAGTGATATAAAACATGCCCGTCACAGAGTCGTCTCTGTTATACAGCCCGTGTTTAACGCTGCACACATTAAACATGTATTTACCACAGAAATGTGATGAATACACTTCACAGGCCTATAAAAACTAGACTGATTATAATGAAGGTTTAATAATACAAAACAGGTCATTTCTTTAATCCCTTCATAATCCCGTTCAGTGTATTTGCTCGTTTCTTTACGGATATAATTAAATAGATGAACATGAACGCAGAGTGACGCGTTTGGCTCCGGATGCTCCTGTTTTCTGTGTTTACCTGGAGCTCTGCGCGGTTTCAGGTGCCTCCTGCCTCTTTAAATAAAATCCTGCTAATGAAAATCCGCTGTTAACACCCCTGCTGCCCTCCTCCTGCCCCCGGCCTCCCTGCTGCTCTGTGCCCGAGGAGCGGAGCAGGATCCCGTGATCGCGGCAGGCCACTCCGCTCGGTGTGTCGGAGCTGCACAGCGACGGCAGGTACCCGCCTCTCAGACCCTTTCCTCCCGTCTCCACCCTCTGCTTTCTACTGTTTAATCCTCCTTCTCCACCTCCTGCATCACCACCACAACCGGCAACAAGTCGCACCGCCCGCCGGCTCGCAGCTGCTGCGGCCGGTCCCACCGACAGCTTCTCCCGGCTCACCGGGTCGGTGGGTGGGGTCAGCTCTCAGGTATGACAGAAGAGGAGCCTGAAGCCTCACCTGGTGGGTTTTACTTATTCTGAGGGTGTGCGTTGGGTTCTGTGCGCTGAGCTGGGCGGAGCAGAGAGCAGGTGGGCGGTGTCAGTCTGCAGACCACCTGAGAGCAGAAACCGGAAGCGTCGAGTTTAGGAAGAGTAATAGCGACTTTGTGACGTCTGAGGCTTTTATTGGACTCAGATTTTAGAGCTTCATTATCTTGTTACGTTTGTTTGTGAGTTTGTCTTCACAAACAGGATGTAGCTGATGTTTACAGACACAGCAGGCTGTAACTCACCAGCTGACCTTTCATGTAAAGAGGCAGCTCCATTAAGAAGCTGTTTAAAATGACAAACTATTCACACATGCTCAGAGGTCAGCTGTGGCTCTATGCTGGGGGGGATCAGTGTCACTGCTGTGGCTGTGGATGGTTTCCCCTCCGCTCTCATGCCTTCAGGTTGACTCAGTTTGTGTTTTAAACTCCTCGCTGAGGGTCAGCAGGGTTCGCTTTACACGTCCCTGCAGTGCTGATCCACAAAGCTTCATTTTAGTTCTGAGTAACAGAAGCCAGGCCTGCACATTAAACCCACAGCTCCTTATTTCTGGCTTAACCACAGACTGTATATAAAAGATACCATACCATACCATACCACCTTTATTTATAAAGCACTTTAACATAAAACCAGAGTTCACAAAGTGCTGTACATGCTAAAAGCATAAGTAAAGAAAATTAAAATGAGATAAGATAAAATAAATAACTAAAAAACTAAAATAAATTGAAACATGTCAAAACAAATTGAGTCAACCCCTCTAATCAATGCCAAAGGCTTCAGCGAATAAATATGTTTTAAGAAGACTTTTAAATTCAGAGAGAGAAGAGGCCTGCCTAACATGCAAGGGTAGATCATTCCACAACTTTGGAGCAACTACAGCAAAAGCACGATCACCTTTAGATTTATACTTAGTTTTTGGTACCTTAAGGAGCTGCTGATTGGCGGACCTAAGGGAACGGGGAGGTGTATATGGTTGTAGTAGCTCCGAGAGGTAGGGGGGGGCCAGGCCATTAAGAGATTTAAAAGCAAAATAAGAGAATTTTAAAAACAATCCTAAAATGTACAGGTAGCCAGTGGAGTGAAATTAAAATTGGGGTAATGTGCTCAAACTTTTTTGTTCCAGTTAAAAGACGTGCTGCAGCATTTTGCACAACCTGCAGGCGCCTAATGGACGCATCACTAACCCCAAAATAAAGTGCGTTACAATAATCCAGCCTAGAAGTAACAAAGGCATGGATTACTGTCTCAAAATGCTGTTTCGATAAGATAGGCTTTATTTTGGCTAATTCCCTCAAATGAAAAAAGCTAGATCTTACAACAGCTCTGACCTGGCTTTCAAGTTTAAGATTTGCCTCTATTTTAACTCCCAGATTAGTGATGACTGGTTTAACATACTGTGCCAGTGAACCAAGATCTATAATAGTGGCCTCAGAAGCGCCACCAAAAACCATCACTTCTGTTTTCTGTTCATTAAAATGTAAAAAGTTCAAAGCCATCCAGGCCCTTATATCATCAAGGCATCTGAGCAGCGGGTCTACTGAGAAGCCATTTATCTTTTTAAGTGGGAAATAAATCTGGTCAAGATGGTCACAGCAATTCGTTTCTGAACTCTTAACTTTGAAGCAGCCACAAAATGATCCACAGAGACCAAACAGTTTGTGTATCAGGCTCTAACAAATGTTTGTTTGTGCTGGAAAGTTTTAACATGGGAGTCTATGGAGACTGACTCACTGCTGCCTCTGCTGGACGCCACAGGAACTGCAGCTTTTGGTGTTTCTCAGTGTTGGTTAAACATTTACACTCCTAACTTAGACCCTGAAAAACCATTGAGCATGCGTTCCTTTTATGGATAAATAAGCGATCTTTTCTGACGCGTTTATAACACTCATTGCAGTTTGTCAGTGAGATTTTAGTGATGATTGTTATGAGTCAGGACCAATGTTCCCTCTAATCTTCCATGTGTCTGAGCGAACACACAAACTCCCTGAGCGTCCCGTGGACCACTGTGAGCGACAGCAGACATGTGCACTGTGGTCACGCCAGCATCGAATCATCCAAGTTACATGTTTATTAAAATAATCAAATTACAGCGTTTACATTTATGTTAGACGACTTTTAATTAACTGCTTTAGCCCACTTACAATGAAAATGTAAACAAATCTTGTTCATGACCTGTGCAGCATGTTAACACTATTGGAAGGAAAAATAACCTGAACTCCAATTTTGAAAACACAACTTTCTTATTATTTTTTTATAAAGCTCTGACTTGTATGATGAGTCTGAGTCTGGGAGAGAGTCTGTAACTCTGTCTGCAACATACAGTAAATAATGACCAATGCTGGGAAATTAATTATATAGTTACTTCTTCAATAAAGTAACTGAGTTATGCAAACAACAAAGTTTTTTGCAGCTGTTTACCTAAAAATGCAGCCAAGGTGTTTTTTAAACAAACATTTCAAACTATTTACAGAACAATCAGCTGTTCTGCATCAAATTATTTGTGCCGCTCCAAAAAACAATTCCTGTCCACTATGAGATGAACAACAGCCTGATACCTGCAGGCCTGACAGCAGCAGATGTGTCACTGCTGTAACACCTGCAACACTCAGCAGTCGCCTCATTGTTCTGACACACACAACTACTACACTACACTACACACTAACTACACACTACACACTACACACTAACTACACACTAACTACACACTAACTACACACTAACTACACACTAACTACACACTAACTACACACTAACTACACACATATACCAGATTTGTGCTAAACGTCGCAAATCTCTCACATCTCAAACACGCCGTCACTCCTAAAACTTCCCCCTCCCTAAACATCTAAATGCCATGTTGCCATATCATGTTTTGATTGGTCCACATGGTACATTTTTCCACCAATAGGAAAGGCTTATAAAACGCCGTTTTTACTGTTTCTTCCTGCAGTAAATATAAACAACGACAGTATTCAGGAAGAAACCCAAACACTGCAGATATTTTATCATGACTCTGGTTTTACGTGGCCGATCAACACAATTTAAAAACTGGTATAAAGTCCACACTTTTTCCGTCAGTTGTTCCGTCTGTCCTGCTCACATCTCCAATGGTTGTACACGTTGTCATTAACGTGGCTTCACTCCACATCAACACCGGTGTCGGCACATAAGGACGCTGTCATAGCCTGTCAACCACGTGGGTTAGCTGCACGTGCGCAGCTTAGAGGGAACATTGGTAAGGACTGTTATAGATGGATGGTTTGTGTAATCCTCAGATACTGTGGGAGAGCTCAGTAACAATAAAAGTTTCTAAAACCTTAAACAGCTCCGTCCCAGTCCACTCTGCCTCTCAGAGTCTAAACTTAGCCGGTGATATAACAGGCTCAGCGCTGCTCTGGGATCAGCCTGTCAGTCGGTGCAGAGGGCCGATCGCCCCCAGCCTGTGTGAGCAGTGAGGGCTCTGCACCTCTGGTGGTTTTTGACTCACTGTTGCTTGGAGAGAAGAGCTGCTTTTTCATCTTCCTGTTAATAAGCAGGCGGTGCTGGGATTCAAACCCACGATCTCCTTTTTAGCTGGCTAGCGCTTTAACCACAATGCCTCACTCCATCTGACACGCACCTGTTAGAGGGGCGTCCACAGGTGTGCTCGGGGCGTCCACAGGTGTGCTCGGGGCGTCCACAGGTGTGCTGTGGTGTACAGGTGTACCTGGGCTGTTTAGAGTCCTGCAGCCTCCTCAGGTGTTTGGAAAGTTCACAGACTTTATCATATTTAATGAAGACCACATACAACACACGGAGCACCACCTGAATTAAAAACGTGAGATTTATAGGTGTGACTCTGCCCCCCAAATTACACCTACAAACAGCATTTCTGGTTCCCAGTGTGCGCACTGACACCACCCTGCCCACCATCAGGCAGAAGGTGGTGTTACCCTGATAACATCTGACCCGTATGCTCTCGTGGGCTTCGTGTGTCGCCTTTAAAAACACTGAATGTGCTGATTCAGACTCACTTTGTTGGGCTTCTCATTTTGTCCTGTCAGGTTCCCTCGTGTGTGTTTGCTCGTCTCTGTGATTGTTTCTGCAGTTTTTGGCTCTTTCTTGCCTCTCTCTAGTTTTTGTGCTAATATTTGTGGATTGTTGTCTTTTGGGGGTCTGTTTGTGTGTCTTTGTAGCAGTTTTTGTCCCGTTTTGTCATTTTCCACCTAATTTGAGGCTTTTTTGTCTCTTCGTTATCATTTTGTGTCTTGCGTCTCTCTAAGCTGTCGTCCTCTCGAGGTCTATTTGTGGCAGCTGAGTCCTGTTGTGGTCATCGTGCTTCTCTTTGTCGGACATTAATCGTTTACTTTTGAATCTTTGTAAAGATAAATTTCATCTGATGTTGAGAGGTTTTATCTCTGTGTGATTACTTTGCCGTTCTTTGAGGTTATCGGCTCTGTTTTTGGCTGCACTGGCTCTCTGTGGCGGTCATGTTTGTAGTTTTCTGTAGGTGTTGGAGTCCTTTAGGCTGGGGTAAACCTGAGGACAGTCCTGACAGGTGGACACTTTTCTTCTGGGTCCACGAGGCTCAGAGCGTTCCCCTGACGGGTGAAGTCGGGCTCGGGCCTCGCTGACGCCTTCGGCAGCGACCCGTGGAGGGATTTGAACCTGCTGACCTTTAAGCTATCAGTGCCACTCCACTCGTGGCCTTTCTGTTTGGGCTTTATCGCCACCGAGATAATGAGACATTTCCTGACGCTGCCCCTGATTGGATGCGTGGGAGACCCTGGGCGCTGCATGATTGAGGGGGGCAGTGAGGAGGGTCTAGAAGAATCTGCTGGTCTATATTAGCCGCTGTGAATCACGGCGAGCCTGGCATACCGGGTGTCCCCTTTCACACCATATAAGTCCACCCCCCCTCCTTTCCCTGCAGACCCCCCTGCCCTGCCTCACCCCGCCTCACCCCACCGCCCCCCCACAATGCCACACCACTGTCTGAGGCTATTCTTAGGCTGTCACTTCAGCCCGTCCGAGCAGGCAGGTCCTCCTCTTTCTCCTCTCAGCTGCTGCGACTCGTTCGCTTCCTCTCCGGTTGGTGCATTTCACTCATTTTTCTTTCCTCCGTGATTGCTTCACCTGCTTCACGCCCTCTCTCTCTATCGCCTCTTTGCTTTCAGAGCCGTCCCGTGTCTCCTGCAGCTGCCGGTGGGTTTGTCCAGAAACTCTGCTCTGACTTTGAAGGATCTTTGTAGTTGTGTGGAAGAAGAATGAGCACCTACACCGTGTCGCTGCCCGGCCCCGGGCCCTGGGGCTTCAGGCTGCAGGGGGGCAAGGACTTCAACATGCCGCTGACCATCTCCAGGGTAGGAAATCGGACAGGAAACGCACTTTTTCACCTGCAGCTTCGCCCAATTTCTGTGTTTGGCTGAAAGATGTGAGTCTCTGATATCTGTGTCCCAGTCTGAGTCCTTAGTGGTGTTACAAAAGGGAATGAATCTAGAAAGACGAAGCTGGGACGGTTTAAGATGCAAACCATTGTTGCATGTCCTGCCTTATTTCCTGTCATCTGTATTCTTTCAAAATAAAGCTCAAAATTCCCCTCAGCATTGTTACTGAAACTTTAATGATTAATATTTAAAATCCGAGCTGGTGTGAGCCTCGGGTCTGTTCGACGTGCTCATGAGTCATTAAACTCAACCTGCTGTAGACTAATTCCATTTCGAGTCCAGCTGAGGAGACGTGGCTGCTTCGGGGCATAATCTCTGATGTGTGGCTGATTTCTTTTTGAATCAGTGAAGCCCGTCGACCCCCCCGGTCAGGTAGGGAGGCCGAAGCAGAGGTGGAGGCCTGAAACTGGAGCTGGTGTTGCTTTTGGAGCCTCGCCTCTCTGGACAGATGGAGAGACGAAGTTCCTGCAGCTCCACTGTAATCTGCTGGTGGGATGTTGATGACCTTTGACCTCTGTGTCGGGTTCTGTTTGGTGATTTTGGATGTGATGCCTGATGTGTTGGGACAAAAGCTGTGGCTGCAGCTTTGTGTAGCCTCTTGTTGGCAGTTTTGCATTTTTCAGGTCACGTTGCATCAGTGCTGATTGTTTTTGTCCTCTTGCTGTTATTTGGTGTCTCTGTGGGCTGTTTGGGTTTGCAGTGCAGCTAGTCTGCATGATTTTGGAGATACTGAACAACTCATTTCTGTAGTTTTGCATCTAATTTTAGTTTCTTTTCCTTTTACGGTCATTAAATGTCTCTCTCTCTGGTATTTCTGCCTTTTGGTGCAGTTGTTGTGTAGTTAAATTCTTTGGGTTTCTTTTCTTTTTAGTGATTTTGAGACTTTTTGTGGTTGTTAAATTCGGGGGTTTGTTTGTGTTTTGGGTCTTTTTAACGTTTTTTTAATTGTTCAGTTGTTTTTTGCGTCTGTCCTGGTTCGTTCAGGTAATTCTGTGTCTTTTGTCAGGTTGTAAGTCGTCTTTTTGCAGCTCAGTTTGGCAGTTTTGTGTCTTTCTTGTAGTTCAAGCCTCTGACCCTTTCGGGTTGTTGTGTTTCTGTTAGTTTTCTTGTGCGTCTCTTTGTGATGGGCTCGGGTTCATTTTATGTTTCTTTCTGATTTGCAGTTATTGTCCAGCCGACTTTGGTGGTTTTGGACCCTGAGCTGTGTTTACTGGGGTTCATATATGTTGCTGTACTTTTATTCAAACTGTTTAACTTGGCAGGATGTTCCAGATGTTCATGTGAGCCTCTGTTCCACACATTTAGCCTACAGATGTTTTGTGTTGTGTTTGGGTGCTGCTGCTCTTCCATTGTTATTCACTGCATCTGTAATCCACAGTTTCCATCATTGCAATCACCTTAAACCGAGTCCTCCCACAGGAGAGACAGACGCAGGTCCCCACAACATGACTGTGAACAGATTTAGGACCCTACAACAGCAGCAGTGATAAAAACGCGCACACACAGACACAGACACACACACACACACGCTGTGAGGACTCATTCATTCGGGGATGGCCGACCTTCAGCGCTCCCCCTGCTCAGCTGTTACACTCATCAGCCTCTGTGAGCGCGCTGTTTGTTAACAGCTCCACGCGCTTTACGCAGCTCCTCCGTCAGGCTGAGAAAGATGGAGGTCCTCTTTGAGATACTAAACCATGTTTAGTCGTCCAGAACAGTCACAGGGCTGAAACAAAGCCTCACGATTCAGAACCTTTTTAGTTTTTTATTCTTAAACTGTTTCACTTGATGATTGAAGTGAGACCTTATGTCTGTGTCAGGGCAGCACTCGTACAGGAACAGTAAATCTTGTGTTCCTGGTTCGAGGAGCTGTTTTTGGCCCCGGGTTTTGCCTCTCAGGTTGCGCCTCGCTGACGGAGTTGGTGGGAGGTGTTTCCACGTTGCCGGAGACGAGCCAAAAATAAGACTCGATCAGAACCTCTGTCTGTGTGAGAGTCAGCGACCGGTTTAACCCCGGAGAGGCTGGCAGGACCTCTGCTCCTCGCTCTGGGATGTGACAGTCATGTTACACCAACCATACAACCACACAAAAAGTTATGAATAAACTGTGGATTCATGAGTATTAACAGACTTCTGCTACATGGACCTCGTTTCACCTCTAGTGCCGATGATGCTCTACGTGAAGAACTGAGAACGAGGACCTTCCTTTTCCATCCGACCCTCCAGTTTCTGCCTGATTGTCGGCTCGGATCCAAGTTCACGTCCCTGTCAACGTTTTCCGTCCTGAGTCGGTTTGTAACGACCCTGCTGCAGCCTGCTGCTGCTCCATCAGGACAGGAAGTCAGATGGAGCTTCTTCCTGTTCCTTCCTTTCACAATAAAAGCCCTTCACAGTGACTCCTGCACATGAACGTGTGTGACGCCAATTGATAACCGATTCTGAGGTTAAAATGAAATGCATCTTCACTTTTGCTGGCGGATCATGTAAAGCAGCTCCGTCGGCCAACGCTGCCATGATTTAGACATGTCTGCTTTCCCTTCTCACTGCTGCTGTAGGCCAGACACACTTGCATCCTGTCAAATGCTCAACAGACTCAAACTAATACCAGTGAAGAAGGAAATTCAGCAGTGTTCATATTCCCATCATCCCTCTCTGCTCGCTGGTTCATTGTTCAGAGCATGAGGTTCAGGGAGCGGCGGTGAAGAGGTGGGATTTACAGGCAGATGGGGCTGAGTTAGATCCAATCTGCTGCTCAGCGCTCAAAGAGAATATCAGCAGGGTCACAGGATCCTCCCCATCCAAGCTTTCCTTCAAAGCCCGAAATCTCTCCGTCAATGTTTTGAGCTGCAGAGCTCCAGAAGGAATGAAATGCATGTCGCTGCACCGGCACAGATGTGGATTAATCCGCTGCTCAAAATAGTCCCCAACAGATGCACCCTTTCCCCTGAACATGAGTGAAGTGTGGGTCAAACAGGTCCAGTGTGACTCTCACTTGGATTATTTAAATAGTAACGACTTCTTACTTTTTAACTGGATCACAGACCAGCTCATGTAGCAGATAACTGCCATACAGTGTGTACCACCGAGTGTATCACAGTGTGTACCACCGAGTGTACCACAGTGTGTACCACTGAGTGATGTCACAGTGCCGGACAGTCTGCATGTTTCATCCCTGATTGGTTGAGAAGCTGCAGGAGCTTCACTTTAAGCTTTGCTGCTTTAAGTTAAAAGGATTTGTAATGAATCTTCTCCATCTCAGAGTTCCTCTGCGCTCTGTCGGAGCCTTGTTTGAATATATTTAGAGCCAAATGACTTCAGTCCTTCCTTCAGGCCGGCAGCAGCGATTGTTCTGAAGTCGTGTCTGGGAGTTTGGGACGATTCGAGGCTGAAACAGTGGCAGCTGGTGGCCTCTAAAGGACCAGCAGCAGTGAGGAAGTGTTCACACGGAGCAGGATTTGTCCCGCTTTAATCCATGGAAACGTCTCTGCGCAGTTTGCACACCCTCTAAAAGGTTCCAGTTTTGTTTTACAGCCAACATCTCCAGGTCATTTCCACTGTTTTTATCCTTTGAACGGTTTTTTAGTATTTTACAAACAGCATCTCTGATTTAGGTTATTTGGAGTGAAGGATTTATGTATGCAATAGGTGACAGATGGCGTTTAAGAAGCCCAAATGTTCTGCAGATTTTAGCCAATATTTCTAATGTCATCCTGTCCAGGTGACAGTCTAGTAACAGCAGGATATGCACGGACACACTGCAGGAGCTTTTTTCAGTGTCAGGCCAACGCTGTCTACATCATCCAGAATCTAGAACATGATGGGTTTCATTTGTGCAGCCCAGAGATAAAAGCTCATTCAGCCTGTTTACCAGGTCTGTTGTATAGCATGCTCTACTGGGATTTGAACCCAGGCTCTTAGCCAACACCCTAAACGACTTCTACTG